TTCAAATCTAATCTTCACAACAGCTCTGGGAGGGACACAGCGGAGAAAACGGAATGGATTCAGAGACGGGGAGTCACTTGCCCAAGGTCGACCAGCTCCTCAAAAATAGAACCAAAATTCAAATTCCTATCTGTCCCTCTTGCCTTCCAGAAACGCCCAAAATGAGGCCCTCGACTCACCAACTGACCTCTACACCTGTCCCACTTTTTGGCCACAGGTGGGGGAAAGCTGAGACTTTGTTCACTCTCATCTTGAATGTGCAGGAGGGAGGGGGGGATGGGAGCTAAGATCCTACCAGGTCCTTACACCTTGTACCTGGGGAGGGTAGGCATTATCTTACCCACAAACCTACACACTGCACTGAGCCAACTCCCCAGCTCAGTTAAGCCCTTCTTTGGATGAGGATGTCAGACAAATAAGAGTAGCCAAAGCAGAATCTCCTCAACAATCCTCCTGCCCCTCAGGTCCCTTCTCGGGGGGAATAGGATGAGCCAATAAACAGGGTAACTGAATTCACTTGAGGCTATTTATGGTCTACTCGAGTCTATCCATCTTTGTGAACTGCCTGGGTTCTTTATGCCTTGTCTACCTTTCCTCCACCTGCTTCCTTCAACCAATTCATGACTCCCACACTTTTGCCAAGAGGAATAGAAGGTATAGAAAGCAAGAGGCAAACACCATGGCTTGGGGGATTTTAGGAGCTCTGGTCAGGGTGACTGTGGCTTCTATTGGCTGACGTGAAGTTTGAAGGTGAGCTCTGTATTTCAAATATCCATTTTCGCTCTTGCACAAGCGAGATAATGGAGAGTCTCCATACCTTGTTTTGATTTTCCTAGGTCCTGTGTTAGACAGAGTAAGGAGTTCAGGACTACTACTAGAGGGTTAACCGACGGTCTATGGCCACCGATGGAGAATTCTGTCACAGCCACCAGAGATCTGCTAACCATTCCCACATACATCTGTGCCACTAAAGCCCATTTATGGCTTTGTCCTCCGGTTGTCTAACGAGTGCAAATGTCCACTCTGAATATTTCAGCTCTACAGCTGACATCAATACCAGCCATTGTGAGATGTGTTTTTCTCACTGAAGAAAAAATTATACATTCGAGACCAGCGTTTGGAAAGGACAGAAATGCCTTCCACAAGTGCCACCGTCACAGATGGGGCTGGGACAGCCTCAGCTGGTCTGGCCAAGTCTGGAGGAAGGTACAAGGTAATGACGTACGAGAATGGCAAGGGGCTCTGTTGGCAAGTCCAGCCCAGACCACACCACTCGGCACCAGGGACCTCAGCGGAAGCGATTCTGTTACCTTTTCTTTTCCAGGCCCTCACCCTCTCTGAGGAGGCTCTCTGCCTCTTGACCTCTGGTGACCTTAGAATTTTCTGGCAGCCGCTGGAACCGGGGATCATCTTTTCAGAAATCTGCTTGGCATCGTTCCGTGACTTATCTTTCAGGCCTCGTCACAATTATTCATGCTTTGGCAGTATCCTAGCTACAGTCACAGCACTGTTCTTGGGCTGCCACTGAAGCCTACTCTGTCCCAGCCAGTGGGGAGGAAAGGCGCCCGCTGCCTCAGACCCTGGCTCCGGGAAGCATGCTCCCCATGAGGGCAGGGGCTTAAAGGCATCTGTTCAGAAAACCACTCTCAACCTCCAGTCCTTGCGAACAAGCACATAGGTGGGGATCGCACAGAGTGGGAATCGGCCCCCAAATCACAGACAACTTGGCTTTGGAATGCTTTCCAAGGCACACTCGCTCTACACCTGGACGCACATTCGTACAGACGCTAAGTGCTAACCTCCATCTGCTGCCTCTGGACGAGAGAGAGACCCTATCTTTTACCTCTCCGTGGCAAATATTTTCTGGTGTCACCTATTCTTTTTTTTTTCTCGTTAACATCCTGCTTCTATTCTGTGGCCTGTGCTTCCTGCTTTGTATATTTTAGGCTACTTTAGACATGACCTCACATCCTGGCCAATTGCACAGTGGCTGCTAATTGTAAGAGCTTTGCTAATGACCCATGCATCTATGTATGAGAGGAACGAACACAAAGCAGCAAAATGCAGAATGCAGTAAGTTAGCATGCCTAAGAACTGGGTTTCTGGAAGTAGACAGACTTGGGTTTCTATCTTGGACTACCTGTGTGGCCCAGGGCAACTTACTTAACCTCTCTGAGTCTTAGTTACCTCATCCGAATGAGGATCATAACAGCTCCTACTTCACAAGGTTGTCGTTAAAATTAACACTGGAGAATGCAGGGGCGACAGGTTGGCTCAGTTGGTTAAGGGTCCGACTCTTGATTTCGGCTCAGGTCATGATCTCAGGGTCCTACGATCGAGCCCCACGTTGAGCCCCGCATAGGGCTCCACGTTCAGTGGGGAGTCTGCTTGAGGATTCTCTCCCTGTCCCTCTGCCTCTCCCCCTGCTCACGCGTGCTCTCTCTCAAATAAATAAATCTTTAAAAAAATACTGGATGATGCATATAAACAACTTAGTACAATGCAAACTATCATTATTATTTATGTTTTCCAAATTATGGGATAGCTTTCTCCCTCTAGGGTCTCCATGTTCCTGAGATCCTGCCTAGCTATTCTGCTCCACATCTACTCTCCACCCACCCGCCTCGCCTCCCCTGACCAATCACTTCCTCTAGGCAGTATTCCTTGACGAGGAGAATGGACACAATTATGCCTTTTTTTCCCTCTGTCGTTTTCTGTATCTCGTGCTTCAGGCAGATGTTCCCCACCTTGCACGGTGAATTTCTCCAAGGTCAGGAAGCCTCACCTTTCACCAGAGGCTCAGATAGTACATACCTCTAGAGCAGAATCCTACAAAAATGGCTAGACCTTTAGAACAAAAGGTGAAGCCCATCTTCCAAATCACACTTTTGCTCTCCTGGACTTGACAAAAGAGTCTCGTTCAGTTGCAAAATGGTTTGCTTGCTTACCAAGCCTTTCCTGGACAGTAGCCTATCTGAAGCCTATCTGAAGCCCATCTGAAGGAAACACAGAGTCAGGAAGCACTGACATTTCCCTCTTCACGATGGTTCCAAAATCCAACCCTTCTCCATCTGCCAAGACACTCAGCCGTGCTCTGGTTAGTTCCCACATTACAGTATTTTTTATAAATCTCTCTCTTCAGAGCCCTGACCTCACCACTTCACTCTCTAACTCTACTCTGTGCACAGCATCTCTGTCCCCTCTCTGTGACCTGGTCCCTTAAATCCCCCTTGGTCCCAACAGAACTTTTCTACTTGCTCCCTCATCTGCCTCTATTCCCGTAGACCACCAGGCCTTTAAGCTTTCTCCTGTTACTCCGATTTCTCAGAACTGTCAAGAAGTGGTCTCTCCTTGCCAGGTCTTCGGATTTCCACATGGAACTTTCCAGACCACCTGTACATTAATGTTCCACACACTATTCTACTACATCATTTCTGCCTCTGTGGGTAACAGTGCCTTGTGGACAGGGATCATCTGTTTAAACGGAAACCCTGTCATTTGTTTTGGCACTTATATTTATGAGCCTGAGGGCTGTAACCCTGTGGCATAAATATTAAATAATAATACATCTTGGGTGAAAAGGAAAAAAAAAAAAAACACCCATGCATGTTAACAGACAACCTCTTCTGAGTAAGTAAATCCAACCACAAAATTTGGTACCAGTTAACTTTAAAATAGGAAGAAAAGCATGGATTGCTCAACAGGTAGACGCTAAAGCAGAATTACAATTTGCATTTTTACACCCTCTTGCTTCAAGAAATGCAACGGCTGAGAAGTAAAAGTGTTAAAAGAAACTTGGGCTGGGTGGCAATTTCCTTGGAATCAAATCCTAATGCCTGACAATGTCTCCTAAGCAGTTTTTAGCCTCTACGAAGAAAGACTCCAAATAATGGCGATACCATATAAATGAGAACAATTCTGGACAACGACACTGCTCAATTTTAAGCATTCTGTGAATTTCCTATTACATCAGTTTCATGATTCAGCATTTTCGATTTCACTTATTTACAGTAATATATGGCGAGATAACCCAAGCTTTCTGTAAGATCCTGGAACATAAGGTAGGCCGGACAGGAAGGGTGTCGCCTTCGGTTAAATTTACTATTGTTTAGGAGAATTCAAAGCAGGAGAAAGAAGGCCACCAAAGGAATTGAGGAATATTCCCCCACCTTGTTCTGAGGGTTTAAATTATTCTGGTATTTTAAGTGAGCTGCTTTTGAAAAATAGGTTACTGCCATTTAGTTGGTAACTGAAACCGAAGCCAAGAAGAGTGCAAATGGTAAACGGACGTGCCTAAGCCAAGCGTATTCTCTGAAATCACAATGTTCAAGACGCAGCTAAAGTCACCACTCTGGCTGTAAGCGTGTTACAAAGAACTCGGTTTCTTTCTGGCATCCGCAACTTGGCTGGAGTGACCACGGAGGAGTTGAAGAGCGCTGGAAACGCGAGGGCTCGTCGCGGGTGCGCTGGCAGAAAACGGTCCGGGCCGTGAGGACCCGGCGGAAACTAAACGGAGGTTCGAGGCGGGCGGCGTTCGCCAAGGGAGAGCGAGACAGAGAGAGACAGAGAGAGAGAGAGGCGAAGTTGGGCACGGGAAGGCAAGGAGCTGCGAGACTGTGAGGGAAGCCCAGGACCCGCAGGGAGGGGGCTGGAGAGCCGCGCGCGGCTGGCGGGGAGGAAACGGGCTGGCGAGGCTCCCGGTGGAGCGGGGGGCCGGAGGGGGTCTCCAGGGGGCGCCTCAGCCGGGTCTGGAGCGCGTCTCGGGGGGAGAGGGCCGGACACGAGCGAGAGCGCCGCGCCGCAAGTCCGGTCCACGCACCCCTCCCGGCGCCGCGGGTCCCCATGCCAGGTGCCGGCGCGCCCGGGGCGCAGCGGCCAGGAAGCGAGCAAACTAGCAGCGCCGTACCGGCCGGCGAGGCGGAGGTCCCCGGCCGCCCCCGCCCCGTCCCCGGGGCCCCGCGCGGAGGGTGGGGAGGACCCGGGCAGGGTCCGGCGCTCACCAGGTAGCAGAACAGGAGCAGCGCGCAGGCAGGGCGGCCGCCGAGGCCCGGGGGGACGCCGCCGCTCGGGGGGGCCATGGCTGCGGCCCGGGGACCGACCGCGGGCGGCGGGGGTTGTTGCTGCTGCTGCCGCGGCCACCCGAGCCCCGCGCCGCGCCGCTGCATAGCGAGGCCGCCCGGATCCGGGCCGGAGCAGGTCACCTGGTGCAGGGACCGGCCCCCGCCCGAGGCGCCACCTTCCCGCCCGCCCCCGGCCGGGCCGGCCGCCGCGCGCGGGGCCACCTGCCGCCGCCGCCGCCGGACCCGCCGCCGCCGCCACTGCCGCTCCCGCCGTCGCCGCCCCCGCAGCCCCAGCCGAGCGCCGGCTCCTCCCCGCCTCCCAGGGCCCGTCCCCTCCCGCCCCTCTGCCTCGCCGCCCAGCCCGCCTCCCCGCAGCTGCCCCCCCACCCCGACCCCGGCGGCCACCTCCCGGGGCGGCCCCCGCAGCGGAGGACTGACCCCGGTCCCGCCCCCTGGCCGCCGCCCCCCGCCCGGTGGCCTCGGCTCCCGGCCCGCCCCCCCCCTTTCTTCGCTCTCCTCCCCCGCCCCCCCCTTCGGCGCCCTTCCTGTCCGCGAGCCCTCTCTCCCCTCCCTCCGTTCCCCCTTTTCTCTCTCCCCCGTCTCCCGCTCGCGCCTTTCTTTTCCTCACCCCCCTCTTTCTTCCACTTTCTGCCTTTTCTCCGCGTCTTTTCCTTCCCTCCCCCCCTTCCCCTTCTCGTTCCAGTCGCCCCTCCCGCCTTCTCCCGCCCCCACCCACTCCTCCTGCGGGTCCCGCAGCCCAGTTCCCGCCGGTGCAATGGGTTTTGTTCCGTCGCTTTTGGGGCGAGGGCGCCATTCCCGCTGGGCGCGGGGCGAGTGTGCCCCCTGCAGTTGCGCCACGCAGCGGCCCAGCTTCTGGCTCTTCAAGGATGGATTTTGACCGCGGCCAACCTCCACCTGTCCACCTGCAGGGGTGGGGCCGCCTCCCTGCGGGCACGTTTTTAACCCAGGTTGCGCTCCGCCCTGCCGGCTGGTGCGCGGCACGTTCTGGATGTTTCCCAAGGGTTTTGTGCGGTGCCGCCGCCGCCGCCGCCGCTCTTTGTTTTAATTGTCCAGAGTATTGGCGCCCAAAGCGGGTTTGCATTGGATTTGCAGCCCTGTGCCCTGGCTTCCACTTGGGACCGAAAAGAAAATGAATTAATTAGGTCAATGCAATTGGACCAAGCCCTAAATGAAAGGGTGAGGCTCGTGAAGTGCACACTTTTTAAAAAAATAAATCAGGCCCACCCTCCGTCTTGGGGACCCAGGTTGGGACTGGCTGTTCGAGGATAGGGGTTCAGCCACCAGGCCGAGGGGCGCGGCCGGACTGTGAGACCTCCAGCTTGCGGCCACCTGGTGCTCTGGGAAGCGCGGGGCAGTTCAGACGACTGCTTGGGCCCCTAGCTGCTGCTCTGAAACAGTTAGCCCACCTTCGAAAGTTCTCAAAAGCTTCCCTTTGGCACTGGGGGCTTTGTGCTTATTGCGACTAATAACAGTTGGGAGAGAGGAAGGATACGGCCCTCGCCCAGCCCTTGCCGTGTGGACGTGCCACCGCCGAAGGTCAAGTCCAAACAGGCAGCAGGGGAAGCTGGCAGTAAAGATGGGGTGCCCGGGGGTCATGCCTGGATATGCCCTCAGCCATCTCAGTACGGGCCCCGCCACACTCAGCAGCTCAGCTGAGTCATCCCTTTCTTTTTTTAGGTCACCTGAGGGCTGAGGCCCTGGGTCGGGCTCTTGGCTGCGAGTCACTCACGGCAAGGTAATGCCTTCTGTCAGTGGTTCTCAAAGTTCAGCCTGCATCCGAACCGCTGGGAGGACTTATGAAAACACACATTGCTGGGCAACCCCACTAGAATCTCAGCTTCAGTTGGCCCCCGGGTGAGGCTTGAAAAGCTGCCTTTCCAGCATGTTTCCAGGGGATGCTGCTGCTGGTCCAAAGACCCCATTTGTCAGATCCACTGGCTTATAGAAAGGGTCATTCTGCTCCCATGTCATCCAATAGCCACCCCATTAAAGCATCTGAGGGTTTCTTTGTTTGACAGATGTCTCCAGCACCCTGTCCCACTTCCATAAACCCAAAGCACTTAAAATTCTCCTGTGTGATGTGGAAAATCATTTAGTCTATTGGGTGTCCAAGGGGATGAAAGGTTTGGTGGCTTTGTCCCAGATTGTGTCCATATATATATATATACACATATATATATTCTTTTTTTTTTTTTTTTTTAGTCAGGTCAGAGTATAAACTATACATTTTAATGTATGTGGAAGGAAAATTGTTGGCCAGTTTCAGAAGATGGGGCTTCACAATATTTCTGGAATTTCCGCCTGTCTTCCTGGGCTTCTCTGGAGTTCTCTCCCCCTTCATTGCCCACAGACTCCGTTGGTCTTCAGGGAACAAAATGGTTTCCTCAGGTTGTTTGTAATCAGGATTCATGGAATTGAAGTTTTAGAAGGCTGTGAGTTTGAATTTCCCTGACTGTAGTCACTGTGGAGACACCCCATAGGGTACTGGGCTGTTTTTAACCTCGTATATCAAATCTCTGACTCACTAGGCTTCTCTTGGGCTCCTCCTGTGAGTCAGGCACCACCCAAGGCTCCAGAATCCAAAGGTGAGCAGGCACCCCTTTCCGGGAGGAGTGGCAGGCGTGCAGAAGACTAACCATAACACAGTTTGGTCCTCGGAAAGGGATGTTCAGGTTGCTCTGTGGCCCAGGGCAGGGGGTGGCGGGATTGACTGATCAATTCCAGACTGGAGAGGGGCAGAAAGAGAGAAGTTCAGGATTTCTATTCACAGCGGTCTGTGACATTTTGGTCCAGAAGCCCGAATCAGTTTTTGCCCTTGCTTCCTCTCCAGCTGTCTGTATTAGTAATTTGAAGGGTGTGGTCTGATCACAGAAGAAGAACGTTCATTTGAAAATATCGTTTCCCGCCTTTACAATTTATTGGTTTGAATTAAGTGTTCATGCTCCACCTAACTGTGAAGGTGCCTGGGGGCTGTATTTATCTGCCTTCATGTGCATCCGTGTGTCCCATCACTCTGAGAGACAGTGAGAGAGCGACTCCACGGAACAGGACACAGTCCCCAAAGAGAACAGCAGCCACCCTCCACGAGGCTTACGGGGAGGAGCGACCAGAGGCCTGGAGGGGTCGGTTCAGGGCTGCCAGGGAAAAAGAACAACCTTCACTGAATGCACTTGCCTCAATGGACACAGAATGGCATCCGAGGCCAGTAGTTCTTAGACACTGAAATGGTTTAAAATCTGTAAAATCGGGCACCTGGGTGGCTCAGTCGGTTAAGCCTCTGCCTTCGGCTCAGGTCATGATCCCAGGGTCCTGGGGTCAAGTCCCGCATCGGGCTCTGCGCTCATTGGGGAGTCTGCTTGTCCCTCTCCCTCTGCCCCTTCCCCCTGCTCATGCTCTCTCTCAAATAAATAAATAAATAAATAATCTTTAAAAAAAATAAAATCTGTAAAACTCAGGGACCAATGCAGTTGGCCAACTATTCATTTGCCAAGTAAAAATACTTAAAACAAACAACTCCCCGCCCCAATATGCTGTCTTTTATCAACATTATTTTGTCTAAAAGACAGGGTATTTTTATCATCAAAAAACTAGGAAGGACCTACTATCATAATAAAACAAAAGTCCTTTAAACTGAATATAATTTGTTTGTGGAAAAACTCCCGATGGGTCATTGTCTTATTTTGCTGTGGACCAGTAGAAACTTAACTTCGGGCTGTCACAGTCCATGCAGGGGCCCTTGGAAACCACATTTCTAGGTCCCGAGGATGTCTCGGGTAGAGAGATCTGGCCATGCAGAGACACCTGATCTCTGAATTACAAGAGAGGGCACAGAGGGCACTACATAGGAGTGAGGAAATCTCCTTCTGCCCACTGCCCTCCTACATAAACCTTTGGGGCCCAGGCAAATACCACCAGCTCTGGAGAGCCTTCCCTCATGACCTCAGGTCAAAAAGCAACCGGTCCTTTCTCTCTCGCCTGCAGCCTCATGTGGCAACTGGCTAATCCTGCTTCCTATTCTAGTCGGTTTGTTGGCCAGTTCTCCTCAAGTGGGTTGAAAGAGGCTTGAAAGCAGGGGTTGTTTCTTAATAAGCCCTGGGCACTGCCCCCATGCCTTGTACATAGAAAGTTCTTAGCCCTAGTCACTCAATAAAATCGACTTCATCATTTTCCTTTTTCATTTTTTTTTTCTTTCCATCCTTCCTTTCCTTCTTGCCCCCTTATTACCTCCCTGCCTTTTTTTCCTTTTCTATTCAGTGTCATCTTCTCCATCTCCTTCCCGTTAGCACCCGGCTTTTGGTTCTCTGGAATTCTGTATACTACCACTCCCTCCATTCCTTTCTGCAACTTCAGATATGCAGAATAAAGATAAATGAACTGTGACATTTGCCTTTTCCATCAACATAGAAGAGAAGAAAACACAAACAGAAGAGAAGATTGCTGTCAGGCAACACACTGCCCATCCCCATTGGAAAACCATGGCCTTTTTTCTGCCAAGGATGACCTTCAGGATCCAGCAAAAAAAACCAAAAAACAAAAAACCCTTTTTCAGCATTCAGTACTTCCATTTTTTCTCATGAAACATTGAGAAAGCCTAGGCTTTGGGCTTCCCTAAATCTGTTCCTATCTCTGTTCTTCCTTTTTTGAATCCTCCGTATTTACCAGTTACTTCCTGTTCCTTCCTTCCTTAGGACATTCCACCAGATACCATCCTCATCTCCTGGTCCCCAGACCCAATATTTTGAGCCTCAAGTCTCTGTGACTCTGCAGACTCCTTTCTTGGGGGCCATGGGACCCTTGCTTTGAGAAGTTGTGCAAAGGGGAGTTGGAAGTGCTTGTGTGAGCTGGGACTTTTTCCACGCATTTCTGTGGGAATGCTGAAGGTCTCAGAATCACCCACTCTGTAGCCTTGGTGTGCTCTGAAATGAGCTCTATTTCTGGGCCTGTCAGATGAAATGCTGTTGCTCCCAGTTATTTTTGGCTCATTGCCCTTCTGAATAGGTGCCTATTCAGCTCAATTCTCCCCCGACCCTGAGCTGGGAAAAAGCAGGCAGCTTCCCTTAGCCAAGCCTCCTCTCAAGTCAGGAGCATCTGCCCCCTTAAGGAGCAGCTATCACAAGTGTCCTGGACTGCATCCTGCCTGTTTGTGCTGCCACCAGGCCCGGAAAGAGGGGAAGTCCACTCCCTGGCCCCCTCAGACCACTGGTGGAGAGCCT